TAGTGATCCGGGCAATGCCCCGGGCTTGTTTATCTTCTTCATATTCAATTACGTACATGACAAATAATTACATGGATTATATCCTTTTTTAAAAAATGTACTCCATAGTATTGTTTTCAAATTGGATGCACGAATGGATCATCAAACCAATATTCAACCACCGAGCATAGGTAGTGAATAATGAAAAATTTACACGCACTAACTTTTAGAGCTTTGAGTGAACTATAAAGAAAATCAACCAATGAAATCTCATATTAAAATATAGCAATTCTTACATATTACACAATCATCGAACCAAAATGCTACTTATTGCTTAAAACATATATAGCCCATAATTAATTTGGGGTGATTTATTAGAAGTGTAAAAATACGAGTTAAGTATGCAAAATATATCCATTGCATTCCAAGGTAGGTAGAGTAAACAAATACTTACCTAGCTCAATATTGGCCTAGTAAAATGTTTCACCAAGAGGTTTAGACCATTTAGTATATCATTTCCTTAGATAGTTAATTTATAGGGATAAATATATTGAATACATATCGGTTACATATTTTACAAATTAAATGGGTCAAAGCAATTTTAAAACATTTTAATTATTCATCTTATCAATTGTGACCAAACTAAATACTAATAATGGCTAGCCTATTGGTTTGCAAGTAACATCTTCTCTTTCTTTAAATTTAGAATCAATATTTGATTGATCATATTATAAGGTGACGTGGCAAAAAATTTAAAGTGATCATTATTATCAAACACATTATTTAGATACAATACTACAATTGCAAAAGTGACGAGGCAAAAAATTTAAAGTAATGTGGTGAAATGACAAAAAAGAATTGACAAATGGCAAAATTGTCTTGGAATTTTAATAATAATATAGATTTGAATTTATATGTGTAAACAATCAAGGGATTTCAAATTAAAGGAGTAGTTTTTTCTTGAACCTAATCCAACTATGAACTATCCAAGTACACTATACTACAATAATGTGCATCCAAGTCAACTTATCAAGATAAGCTAATTGATATGACATGTTGCTAGTCATCAAATCAGACAAGTGGACGCATATAAGCAGGTGTATAAGCAAATCTAGGAGACATTAAAAAGGCAAATAATATGACTAGGAATTAACTGAAGAAAATTAGTGGTACCTCCACTAATTTAGCTTGGTGGGATTTATATAGTTATAACTCTTTAATTATTTTATCAAGTTTAAGTGTGCGAAGCATGAGCTTAACACGCTCTTCTTCTTTGTTTATTGCTAATTAAGTATGATTATGGAACTTTATTTTGCCCATTTTAAGGTTAGTGGAAAATAAAGTTAAGGAGTTGAATATGGATATTTCTTCATCTCACTTTATTTGGGTGATGGAGAGTAAACATAGAAAAAAAAAATTGATCTGATGAATTTTAAAATTTATATTCCGTACCATATTACTGTTAAGATAAAGTTAGGTTAAATACCTCAACATTTTTCTAATTTATGCCATTATTGTAATATTTGTTGTATATATATTTGTCACTTTATTTAATTTTGAGAATACATACTTGTGTCTGTTTTTTTTTCTTCATTATTGTGCCTAAATGTTAAGGTTTTGACCAAAAATATGAACATACACAATGCAACTTACCCATTCACAAAATGTAATATGCACAAAATACTTGCACACACTTCCAATAATAATGAATTATTGAATTATAAAGTCATAAAAATCATCTCTTAGGACAAACTTTCTCATTTGGAATTAGGTGAATAAAATGATAAACTACTTACAACATTAGAGTAGTATTTTATCATTTTATTCGCCTAATAATATAATCCGTATACCAAGCTAAATTTAATCTAGTGGAAAAGATATCAAAGATTGCATCTTTCTACCTTTAGGTTGGGATTCAATCCCTACTAGAGGTACATTTGGATCCCTTACTCTTCCACTTTCACTCTCAATGTTTCTGGCCCGCAAATACTGAATATAAAAAAACCATGAAATTGAAGTTTGATCAGGGTTACTTTAAAAAACATACTCCCCTGTCCCTTAATTAGATTCCTACTTCTCTTTATTATGTGAGAAATAAATGCTAGAACTAGAAATTTAATTAAGGGACGGAGGGAGTAACATATTTAAAATAAACATACACCGTATCATCAATATGCCTATACTAAAGGCGAAACCAGAAATGACACTTGTCATAACCTGGTTAAAAATTTTCCCTCCAAAAGGCTTTTTTTTTTTTTTTTTTTTTTTTTTTTTCTTTTTTTTTTTGCCAAAGCTTCTTAGAGAAGTATTTAATTTAATACTTACTTTACAATAATATTTCTTTTCTATTTGGCAAGTATATTCATTTGTATACATTCAACAAAGATTTATATATTTTATGACGGGAACAAAGTCATGTATTACAATAATGTAATATTATCTATAACTTTGTAATGTAATCCATAGTTATTTTTATTAGTCTTGCATGCATTTCTTCCTCTGTTTTCTGTAAAGATTCAAAAAAAATTGTAATTAAACTTTCATCCTATTTTTGCAATTAAATTTTATTTTTTATAGTAAAATAATTGTATTAAACTAATGATAAATATTAAAATTACCGTGCATGGCACGGGATCTAACCTAGTAAACCACACAAAGCAGATCACGTCAAACAAACAAAGTTACAAACGATGATCATAATTAAGATTCCTCAAAATAAACCTAGAAACTTAAATAACTAAGCCTAATTGAGTAATTGCTTTTATCAAGGGCCAGTTAACATAATGTCTATAAAAATATCGTATCCGCAAAAGAATCCCACTACAGTTTGTATCTTTGAGCAACGAGCTTCATGCTTTAGGTCTATGAGACTATGAGCACCCAACGTTCAGGCAAAGTCTGACTTTTCCTTTTTATTAGGATCAAATCTTTACCATTAATCAATTTATAATCAACAATAATTGAGCACCGTTAGCACCAATTAAGCTGCAAAATCACAAAAAGATATACAACGTAATTTAAATTTTTCAAAGAACAAATTGTAACATTGCACGTCTATACTCAGCAGTATGTTACAGAACTACATTGGCACATTGAATAAATTTCCATATTTACCATAATTTAATTTCATGCAATGACTTGTGTAGGAGTATCATACTCATACTTCACAAGTTCACAGAGTATGCATTGTATTAGGATTAGCGCGATCAAGTATATTTAATTTTTTTTATATGGTAAAGAGGACCCTAATCAGACCTTAATCCTCACGATACGGTTTTTTTTTTAGTCTAGCGCAATCTAATATTAGTGTATTACCCTACTTATTATGACATGCATTCCCACTGTATATATCGTGCACGCAATACGCTTTCAATACTATCCCAAGTTAAAGTATCACCCTGTTTGTCGGAGTGATACTGATAAGTATGCATGCTCAATTGCTCATTTTATAGTACAAGCAAGCTCTCAGTACGTAGAGTCCCATTCTCAACTAATCCGTACTAAACAAGTGCCCCATCTCGTTTTCAGTAGTCTTTACCATACTATCCTTTCTTTAATTATTGTCTTATTGATCTTTATGATTCTAAGCTAGCTTAGCCATATTTTGTCCAATCCTTAATTTATTGAATAAGATAATAAAGTTAGTAAATTACGTATCCCTTAGCTAGCTTATAATTAGAGCAGCTCGTCTAAGTTCTTGATAAGGTTTTATTACCCAATTTGTTGTATAATTTCCTAATGGGGGAGGAAACTATGGGAGCTACGTGTGTATAGTTGAAAGTTGATATTTTCATATTACCACTTTTTTCATTTAGTATAACAAAAGCATTAGTCTATTTTTCCTATAAATACAATTTCTTTTCGTTAGTTTAGGTAAGCAGGTCAAACTTCCTTCTTACACGGCAATTAAAGATTAAATATTGTAAATTTAGTTCTCATCTTATCTAATTTAAAGGAAAAAGAAAAGGAGAAAATGGATTTAACCTCCATTTTTATGCACCATATATGTCTTTATCCAATGTACCTCTCAATGAAAAATTAATTTGAGTATTTTTTTGGTCCACATTTATTTTGTCTTTATTGGCAATGTATATCTTAATCCTTAGCCAAAAACCCCTGCCTTCCATTGCCAACAAGAATAGAACCAACCAGCCCGGCATCATCCTCAATCTTTCCGATTTGGTGGATTCATACAAAGACTACTTTTAATATTTTTAAGTAGGTGAAGAGAAATTGCCTTATTTTATCAGATTTTCGCCCACGTTAATATGATATGTGTTATTAAATAAGGGTACATTAACTCTTCTTAGTTTGGTGGATACAAATAGATATTATTTTTTCCTCATTTTTGACAGATTTGAGGAAAATCCCTATCTAATTAGAATCTCGCACAAGTTAACTTGACCTTTTTAGTAGGCGAGGGTGCAATGTCCCTTCAAAGACTATAATTAGTCTCCTTATCCTTATTTTAATAAACTAAAACCTTCCCAAAATGCTCCCAAATTATTAAAAAAGAAGCAGATTATTCATTATTGCTACTACATACCTCCCCCAAAAAATCTCGAGCATTAAACAAAGAAAAAGCAACAACAAAGGCCAAAGGAAATACAATTAACAAGTTGAGGTGCACACTTATTTAACTATTTAAGCAACGTGTCACGGTAATTTAAACCTTAATAAAATACATATAACACATAATTGAACTAAATCACCAACAATTTTAGAAGTCGAGTTTTAATAACGTGACACTTAAATTGAATAATCATCCGAATTGAATAAAAACCCGATACTCAACCCGACTCGAGAACTTCTAATTAAAGTGTAACAACAACCTCACGTGCCAAAACAACGTTTGTTAGTGCTAGCTAGTTTTAGCAATGAATAAGGTGGGTTGAGTAATGGTGGTTGGGGTATAAGTTCTCAAGTGGAAGAGGCAAGAAAACTTGAGAAAGGACCGTGGTGGATACACACTCACACGTGCCTAACATACGTGTCTCGCAATACCTCCTTACGTCCAACATCTCTTCATCACACCTTGGCAAACTCCTTCCACGTGGACCCACTTTATACTGTCTTCTTCTTATTACCCTTTTCACCCCTCTCTTTTATTTTTCTCTCTCCTCTCTATCAGTCAATCTTACCACCAACATCAAAAGATAATTCATTCATTTTTTTCCCAAATTATTAAAAAAAAAAAAAAAAAAAAAACACAAAATCCTCTTTTCAGAAGAGAGAAAATTCATGAATTTTAGGGTTTTTGAATTTGTAATAAATTGTTGAAAATTGATTCAGGAATTCTGGAGGATTTTCAAAAATGGCGACGCCATTAACGGGAATTGGACATAGAGATGGAGGTGGAGTTGCGATAATGGCAGGTCCTGTTAACGCTGTAGATCCTTCACCTCCGAATTCGTCGTCTTCATCTAAAGCTTCGTTGAAGAATTCAGCTCAGAAATCGCCGATTTTGATTTTTTTGTTCTTTCATAAAGCCATTAAAGCCGAGCTTGAAGGTCTTCATCGAGCTGCGATTGATTTTGCTACTAATCAGGGGAGCGATATTGAGCCGTTGCTCGAGCGATATCATTTTCTTCGTTGTATTTACAAGCATCACTGTAATGCTGAGGATGAGGTAGGTTGCTGCTGTCTTGTTTCTTTAATTTTGTTTATAATTTTGTCGATTACTCGAGTTTTCGGGTTTTTTCTGCAATTTAGGTGATTTGAGGTAGAGTTTTGATGATTCTGAGATGCTGTATTCGTTTTTTCTTTATTAATTGCTGTTTTTTTTTGGTGTGTTATTCGGAATTTAGGTTAGTGGAAATGGAATTATGGAATATACCCAGAACGCTAAGTATCTTGTTTATGGTTGATTAGCTTGTTGCAAATTAGTGGATTACGAATCATTGTTGCAAATGTTGTATCCGGAATGATAGGAGAAGAGGGGATAGAAACAAGAGCGTGGTTTAGAAATGCTGATTGGCGTTGTAGCTTGAGAGTATAACTACGTAGTAGCACATACTCACTAGGCAAGGTTTCATGTTTTTGGTTAACATACTCGTGTAATGTCGTTGCAAATCATTTACGCTTTGTTTGGATAGCAAAGAAGGAAGGAAAAGAAGGGGAGGGAAAATGGAGGAAGGGAAGGGAAAAGAAAGGGAGGAGGAGGTGAGCTCCATTTTCCCTCCAAATCTCTCCAATTTTAGAGAGATTATGGTTATTATGGAGAAAGAGAAAATGGATCCCTCCCTCTCCTTCCTCTTCCTTCCCCCAATCTTTTACCCAAACAAGAGATTTTGTCCCCCTCCATTTCTCTTCTCTTCTTTTCCTTCCATTTCTTTCTATCCAAACAAAGTGTTAGTTTGATTTGTGAATAAGGATTTCAGCAATGAGATAGCTCGGTTGTAAGAGAAAATAAGTGAAGGGAAGAGAGGAGAGGAGAAAGGAAACAAAAAGAAATAAAGAGTGGTATAGATATACTAATTGGCTTTGTATGTCCAATGTGAAATTATGCACCGGCACACTCACTACTCACTAGGCAAGGTTTTAACGTTAATTGTCGATGCAATTGTTTATTCAGAATACAAGATTAAATGAGATAGTTGAGTTTAAGAGAAAAGAAGGGAAGGGAGAGATATGAAGAGAAAATTGTAATAAAAACATGGTTTTGATATACTAATAGGCCTTTTAGCTTGATTGCAAGTGTTTATAGTCTATGTATCTGATGATGCTGTTGATGTACAAAGCTGTAATATATTTCTAATTTTGTCAAAGAATGTGCGATTTGAGGACGAAATTCTCGTGGTATAGAATGGAGCAGGACTAGTGTTTGCAGCTGGAAAACCTTTTATCATAATTATGTGATTTAATCTCTTTTGAGTGTTTACTAGTCTATCTTAAGACTTCCTCAATTCCTTTTTGTTTTGTTTTATTTTATTTCTTTCTTTTTTTTTTTTTACAATTTTGGCAATTGATTTTCACACTTTCACCCCCATAACCCCACAAAAGTACTTATTATTTTGCCCACATGCTTACATGTTCCACGTGCATCCCACATTTCATTCTCTTTCTTTTCTTAATTCTTGTGCAATTAGTAAAGGTCAAGAACAGTAAAGAACATAGGTATATAAAATTTGGAAACTTGTCACAGTTTTGGACTTTTGGGTGATTCAGCCTGTTCTGGCTTTGTGAAGTATCTCAGATCTTGTAGTTATGAAATTTTGGAATAAATTGCAGGCTGATAGATTGCTTGGCAAGCTTGTGAGTATTTGTGATTTTTCATAATTGGGGCTGGATTCTAATTATATGTGGTCCAATTTTTTTTTTTTAATGCCTTTTTACCTTTTAAGAATGCTCAAGAACTATCTTAGTCTGGTGGACATGGTGGAGAATCTTGTCACGTTAGAACTTGTCTTGACCAAGTTATTTGACTGTACTTTCATTGGACTTTGAGTCATATATTGGTTTTGTTTTTTTCTCACTTCTCTCTCTGTGATTCTTAAAATCCTAAACACACTAGGCGAGTAGGGTTGGCATTGGCTTCAATGTGCAAAGAACGAGATTAATTTAATGGTCCAAATGTCCAATAGAATGAGGAGAGATAGAGCACTAGAAGTGGACCAATGAGTAGTGTTTCCGGATGAAAGAGATGGGTCATTGGCTCTCCAAGTTCTAAATCTCAGTACTAGTAACTGAAACCCTTGGAGCGGTGAATATAAAACAAGGATTTTAATATGGCAAAGGAACATTCTTCCCTTTTGTTTTTACCTACCATCTTGACATAGTACTTTTTACATGAATCAAAAGCTAAAGCTGGCATTAATGGCTGTCATAATCTGTTCTGAATTCACAGGTCATCTTCCCAGCTCTTGATATTCGTGTAAAAAATGTTGCTAGAACTTACTCTTTGGAGCATGAAGGTGAAAGTGTACTTTTTGATGAACTGTTTAAGCTGTTGATCACAAAAGTACAAGATGAGGAAACCCACCGTAGAGATATAGCTTCTCGTGCAGGAGCCCTCCAAACATCAATTAGCCAGCATATGTCTAAGGAAGAAGAGCAGGTGCTGATGTACTTTCTAATCTACTATGCTTTTGATTTCTTTTTGTTTCTTAGATTTATAATCAATGATAACTGCCAGGGTTTAAAGATATCCAAAACAAGAGAAAGTCAGATTCAGATCCAAATCTTTAAACCTGGCAGTTCCATACATATTTAGTGCGATGCTTATTCCAATGTGTGTGCTTTATTTCAGGTGTTTCCGTTGCTTATTGAAAAGTTCTCTTTTGAGGAGCAGGCATCATTAGTCTGGCGGTTCCTATGCTCTATACCTGTTAATATGATGGTAGAGTTTCTCCCTTGGCTTTCATCTTCTGTTTCCATTGACGAGAGTCAGGATATGCAGAAATGCCTCCGCAAAATTATTCCAAATGAGGATCTTCTTCATAAGGTTAGCATTTGAGCTATACTATATAAAATTCTTCCGCTATTTCAATTGCATGTTTGCTTATTTTTTTTTTTTTTGAACTTGGAGGTCATTTTCACCTGGATGGATGGACCTAAATTGGATGAACTTCGTACAAACGGTGGTTCCACGGTGCAGTGCTGCATAGACTCTAAAACATGTGCTTCAGTGGGGCAAGCCAAAGGTTCATCCTGTGCTTGTGAATCTTCGCAGGCTGGGAAAAGAAAACGCATCAAACTGAGTAGTTCCATTGCAGATTCAGATCTTAGTTCCCCTATCGATGAGATATTACTGTGGCATAAGGCGATAAACCGAGAACTTCTTGAAATAGCAGAAGCTGCTAGAAAATTGCAGATAAATGATGCATCATCATCTGATCTAACTGCATTCAATGAGAGGCTTCACTTCATCACTGAAGTTTGCATATTTCATAGGTAATCACTATGTGTCTCCATTATACAATAGACTAAACTTATAATCACATTGTACTCTTGGAGGTTTCTTCTTACAGATTTTTCCAACAAAAAATCTTTATAAATAACTTTGTACCAATGCTAAGTAAGCTGCATCTGAAGATTTTACTTTGGTAGCAACAGAAGACAGTTTCAGAACTTTATTTTTACTTATGCTTGAATTTTACCTCTTGTCTATGCCTTTGTAAAAAGGGAAATCTTTCTCTATGTAGGTAGTTTACTTCCATGAAGCATGTAAAACCATTGTTACATTTTTCAGACCCTTTACTTTTTTGGGGGGTATGGAAGGGTTAGGTGGGTGGGAAGGGGCTGATTCAATACCAATTTGAGATAGGGATATTTGTACACAGCATGAGAGAATAAATTAGCAAAAAAATGTGTATAATAGACTTCCTGGGCAACCCTGTTTTTCATGTATTTTCTCTATTATCCAACTTCCAAGCAAGATGTTGGATCACACCATTTTCCCCTCTTCAATAATAAGTTTCATGAGGATTTAATGGTTTACAAGGGTTAATCATAAATCATGTAGTTATTTGATGTCCTGATGGATGTTCCAGTTGCTTAAGCAAAACTGTGTATTTATTTAAAATCCCTTTGTGCTCATTATTCCACTCAGAATTTTGTTCCTGCCTTGTTTAACTTTAAGCAGTATTGAATAGTACTGATCTATGAAATGCTAATCCACTGGGGCCCCATTGTCCCTTTTAATCGTCATTACTCATTAACATTGTGCATGTAGCTTGATGCTCACTATTTTCTGCTTCTAAGGTGTGACATGTGCTTTAATTGTTTTCTTACAGTATTGCTGAGGATAAAGTTATATTCCCTGCGGTAGATGCAGAACTGTCATTTGTGCAAGAGCATGCTGAAGAAGAAAGTAAATTTGAGAAAATCAGATGCTTAATTGAGAACATACAGCTTGCGAATGCAGACTCGTCTTTAGGCGATTTCTACACAAGACTATGTACTTATGCTGATCAAATAACCGGCACCATACTTAAGCATTTTCATAATGAGGAAATTCAGGTTTGTTTGTTGTAAATAAAGTGTAAGCTTACAGTGTGTAGATGTTGGGTTTTCAAGTGTGAAAGAAGATTTATGGAAGAGACTAGACTAATCAGATAGGTGATAAAGAATAAAGATAATGTCCAAAAGCTAATAAAGTAGCTCAATACTGTAATTATTGTTTTGTGGAAAATATTATTGCATTGCAGATTGAATGGTTTGTTAGCAAGGTGTTGGTCAAAATTTTAGTTGTTTATATTTTCATTCTAGTCACTACACGCACTCTTCTTGATTTTTCATGGGTTACATTTTGAAACGCCAGGTACTTCCTCTAGCCCGAAAGCTATTTAGCCCGCAGAGACAAAGAGAACTTATGTACCAGAGCTTGTGTGTGATGCCATTGAAATTAATTGAACGTGTATTGCCATGGCTAGTCAGATCTCTTAGTGAAGAAGAAGCAAAGTGCTTTCTTAAAAATATGCATATGGCAGGTGATATTACATTTTTGACATTCTGTGTTTACAGTATATCATAATATTGTGGCTACTTCATATTCATATTCCTGTAGAAGTTGTGTGCAATATGCTCACTTCCCATTTCTTATACCTCTTCTGTCTAATGCAGCCCCAGCTGCAGACGCTGCACTAGTTACACTTTTTTCTGGTTGGGCGTGCAAAGGTAGTAAGATGAATGTCTGCTTGTCCTCAACTGCAATTGGTTGTTGTCCAGCTAGCCTGTTGAGTGGGGAAGATGATGAACACCCTATTGTTAGCAAATGTACCCCGTGCTTATCTAATGGGGATAGAGCTGCTATGACGCAACATGATGATGAAAATCGGCCATCCAAGCGGAGTAACATGGCATCAAAAGAAGAGATTGATTATCTTGAAGACAGAAAAGCAGGTGGCTTCCAGAGGTTATCCTGTGGTACTCTATCCTGTTGTGTTCCTGGTTTGGGAGTTGATAATGGTCACCTGGTAGTGGGTTCACTAGCTGCTGCAAAATCTCTCCGTTCCTTGTCTCTCAGTCCCACTGCACCCTCTTTGAACTCAAGTCTTTTCAATTGGGAGACTGAGATAAGCATTTCAAATAGTGGGTCTACTACAAGGCCTATTGATAATATATTCAAATTTCATAAAGCAATTCGTAAAGACTTGGAGTACTTAGATGCTGAATCTGGAAAATTAAGTGAATGTGACGAAGCATTTCTTAGGCAGTTCAGTGGGCGATTTCGACTGTTGTGGGGACTATATAAAGCACATAGTAATGCGGAAGATGACATAGTGTTTCCAGCGCTTGAGTCCAAAGAAGCTCTTCACAATGTCAGCCACTCTTACACTTTAGATCACAAGCAAGAAGAGATGCTTTTTGAGGACATATCATCTGCATTATCTGAGCTTTCACAACTTTGCGGAGCATTGAGTAGATCTAGTGCTGCTGAAGCTCATCTTGGATATGATTCCGACACTGGTGTCTCGAATGATGATTTGAAGAAGTACCATGACCTTGCCACCAAGCTTCAAGGAATGTGCAAGTCTATAAGAGTAACTCTTGATCAGCATGTTTTCCGTGAAGAGCTTGAGCTATGGCCTCTGTTTGATAAACATTTTTCCGTGGAGGACCAGGATATAATTGTTGGTCGCATAATTGGTACCACTGGAGCAGAGGTGCTTCAATCTATGCTACCATGGGTAACTTCTGCACTAACTCAAGAGGAACAGAATAAGATGATGGACACGTGGAAGAACGCAACCAAGAACACTATGTTTAGTGAATGGCTTAATGAGTGGTGGGAAAGAGCTAATCCCTCTCAACAATGCTCAGCATCAGAGATAAATTCTGCGCAAGGTTTGTGTCTTACCTACAATGCATGTATAAAGCTGCTGACCAGATCCTTTTATGTATATAATTTGATAAACCTGTGTCTTGAAAAATTTTGGTTTTAAAAAAAATTTCTATAATTTCATCAGGCCATGATGTGTGCGATGCTTTAGACTCCAGTGATCAAACTTTCAAGCCTGGATGGAAAGATATTTTCAGAATGAATCAGAATGAATTGGAATCGGAGATAAGAAAGGTCTCTCGTGATTCAAGCCTTGATCCAAGAAGAAAAGACTACTTGATTCAAAATTTGATGACCAGGTTCATTTCGTTTTCATTGCTGTATCAATTTCTATCGTGGAGCTCTTTCTGATGCTAATTTATTTTTGGTTTTTTGGTTTGTATTATTAGTCGCTGGATCGCCGCTCAGCAGAAGTTTTCTCATGGAGGTATAGGTGAATCTTCTAATGGCGATGACCAGCTAGGATGCTCTCCATCATATCGGGATCCTGAAAAAAAAATCTTTGGATGTGAACACTACCGAAGAAATTGCAAGCTTCGAGCTGCCTGCTGTGGAAAATTGTTTGCATGTAGGTTCTGTCATGACAAAGTTAGTGACCACTCCATGGATAGGTATTTTATCTTATTATCCTAGCTCTTGCTCCACCAATATGTTTTTTTAATTTTTTTGGGTGCTTACCAATATGCTACTTTACTCCCGATCAGGAAAGCTACCTCTGAAATGATGTGTATGCGGTGCTGTAAGATCCAGCCTGTTGGACCCGTTTGCTCAACGCCTTCTTGCAATGGACTTTCAATGGCCCAATATTATTGTAACATCTGCAAATTTTTTGATGATGAGAGGTAAAAATGCATGTACTGGACTTACCTTTGCCTACTTTTTGGCATATTTGTGAAGTTTGAATTCAAGCTGCTATTTTTTATTTTATTTTATTATATTTTCGTATCGGACTCACCTCTGGCCTCTGGGCATGTCGGATTTATTAAGCTATTACTATCATTCTGGATGGAAGTTATCCAGGATCATAATTCACTGGCCAGAATGTATTGTAAGCAAGTCAAATACTTTGATAGGTTTTTAAATTACTGAACCTTGGGTGACTTAGGCGTAGTCAATATTAGTGCTTCCTAATGCAGTATAGTATATTCTCATGAATGTCTGTGATCAACAGCTTATGTCAGCTGGTATTTGCAGAAAAGAGGCAATTTCTAGAGAGCTAGCAATTTAACTAATCATATTGTCTTAAATGTCTGTGAAGTCGTATCCTTAGTGTCTTCAAAAGTGATTGAATGGGAAATTGAGTTGTCTTGAAAGTGTAAAGGACAATGCTTCATCATGATATTATTAGGCTTATAATGTTTTAGGCTTATAATGTTTGGACAATTAAGAAAGCAAATAATCGCAGAAAAGTGAATGCATCTTTTGTGGGTAATGTAATTTGTGACAATACAATGAATGAGCAGGCAATGCTAGGTGATGAGACTCACTTGTAAGTGAAATGCTTGACTTATTGTTGGATGATTGTAAAATCCAATTTGGGAGACTACCCAGGTGTATAAGAGATGTAAAACCACCAAGGAGTGTGAGAGATGTGAAACTGCAATGTGTGCAAGTGAGTCTAAGGCAGATGACCAATTCATGTGACTATATGAGTATTCTGCCCATAGAGGAAAATTCAGAATGCCTAAAAAGGTGATGAAAACAAAATTTTGTGCTGGATTTGGGAGGTCTTTTTAAGTTGTTTGTGAACCAGGATTTAAAAGTTTGTTGCTTAAAATGTATCATATATATGTATAGTGACTAGTATTTTTTAGTGAAGAGGACCTTGGTTTTGCACTTGTATCTTATTCTATATTTTAAGAGATGATTGGTGGATTATGGTTTCATAGAAGGGGCCAGTGCTACCTATTCTCTAGTTCTCTCAGCAACAATAGTACACTTGTGGACAAGATTAAGTAGTAAATTTTCTAATTTTGTACCCACCTATATAACATTATTGCCATACTTTTTTTCAACTAGAGGTGTATTGTGCTTCTTGTGATCCTGTCTGTGTATTACTTTATTGGTCTGTCTTTGTAGTTTTAAGTACTGCTAACTTATGAGGTATGAATATGATGCTTTGCCGGAGAAGTATGCAATTAGATAATAAATCAGCAGGAGCATATATTTCATTAACTGACTTGAGTTTACTTTTCTGCGTTGGAGATATTTTTTCCCTTTATGTTATGTTCCAGCGGTGCATTCCTTCTCTAGAGACTAGACTTTAGCCATACAGTCGATACAGAGCAACCTATGCCTAAGATGATGTAAATTTGTAGATTATGGGGTTATAGAGTTTTATTTGTTTCAGTAGCTCTATTCTACTTCAAAGCTGGTTGTGCAGGATTGGCATTGTTTGAATGGCAGAATGTGTTTCAGTGGCTTGGAGTATTGCAGCTATTTTTACTGATAGTCTTCTTTTTTCTACAATCTTTTCTTCAGGAGCGTCTATCATTGCCCCTTCTGCAACTTGTGTCGAGTGGGGAAAGGGCTTGGCTCTGACTTCTTCCATTGTATGACATGCAATTGCTGCCTGAGTGTGAAGCTAGTCGATCATAAATGCCTTGAGAAAAGTTTAGAAACAAATTGTCCTATCTGCTGTGACTTCCTCTTCACATCAAGTGCATCTGTCAGAGCTCTTCCTTGTGGCCATTATATGCATTCAGCTTGCTTTCAGGTTGGTAGATGGCAGAATTTTTTTGTTACTTGGTTTCATGTTCAACTTATGTAATAAATTTGATGAATAGTGCTTGAGTTCTCTCCTCTTTGCTGTGATGTCAGGCTTATACTTGCAGCAGTTATGTTTGTCCGATTTGTAGCAAGTCATTGGGAGATATGGCGGTGAGAATGTTATTTATGCTGTCGTGCATTTTATAATATGCAATCTTCATTTATTCGTTTGTTGAATCATGAAACATGCTTCATGAATTGCTATAGAAGTATCTGCCACTTATATTTCCCGAAATTATTTCCTGTACTGCATTACTACCAAAACTCTCTTCCAAGTGAATATAATAATGGAAACGGAGTCTATTAGTTTATTTATGCAGTATAAAATATTAACTATGTTTAAAGCTGTATTAGATGGATAATATTTTATTGCTTAACCATAATAATCATGTAAAATAGTTCTGAAACATAATAATTATAATACAAATGCTATGTAGAGGAATGAACATGAAGGTGATCAGGGCATAACATGTCTATTAGCACATTACTAATATATTGTTGGAAAGCCTTTTATAACAACTCCTAAGACTATAGTATGAAAATGCGGTGTCCTATGTTAATGATTTTTCCTCGTGGTCGACTATTTTTTTGAAATTTATGTGCCTTTTTAGCTTTGACCAGTTGATTACAATTGTGGCATATTTTATTACTACCTTTGTCCCAAAAAGGATACACTCACCTTTGCACGAAGTTTTAGGTGTTACATGGTTTGGTTATCCATTGTTATTTATTGAAATAATAGATGCGGTAGGATGTGGTTTTACCTTTTCTATGTGTGAACAACTTGAATTGGTGAGTATGGAGACTATATCTAGCAAAAATGATGACCTATTTCTCCTATTCAAACCCAAAGTGACTTGTCACAGCTATCCAGTACAAAGTTAACCCACCGAAATCAAACTTTATTTGCTTTCTCTATAAGCTAATTTTTTATTAACTTAAAATTGACCCAACTCAAATGGACTCAACCGGTGCCAAAAATTCCTCTCAAATGACTCACACCCATTGTAGTTAACCCAAATGGAATAACCCTTTTACCATCTCTAGTGGGGACCAAACTTCTTAGTTGTAAGAACTCTAGGTCCTTCGTTGCAAATAAATCAATGGTGTAAAAGAGGTCCTTGCTTGCAACTTATTAATAGTTGTATCTAGAAGCTTACCAATGTAGAGCTACATTAGATGTTGGTTGGGTCAAACTACATAGGTCTACAAAACTATGTAGTTTCACAAAGCCCAAAGCATGTGCTGTAAAATAAAACAAATAAATTGTATGTGAGTAATTTCTCCTTTTTTAAAAAAATTAATGTAGTAGCTTGCAATTGTGGAGGTTGTAACTTAATTTGATGTAGTTTGGGAATAATGTTGTAGCAAGCCAAAGCTACATCCCTTGTAGCTATCCATTGTGGATTCTCTCATTAATATTTTAACAGCTACATCCCTTGTACCTTTGGCTTGCTACATCATTATTCCCAAACTACATCAATTCAAGCTACAACCTCCACAATGGCAAGCTAACATTTTGTAAATTTTAGTATTTACATGTTAAAAAAAAAAAAAATTTAAAAATCAATGCCAAAAAAATAATCACATTTAATTTATTCTTTTATATTGGACAACACATGCTTTTGGGCATTGTGAAACTACATAACTTTGTGGAGCTATGTAGTTTCACCCAGCAACTTCTAATATAGCTCCACATTGGCAAGCTAGTAGCTACAACTATTGAATATTTGCAAGCTAGGACTTATTTTATACCGTTGTGGGTGCTCTGGGGGTCATTCTTAAAATACAAGTATAAAGAGTATTCAGGAACAGAAAAAAGGAAATTGTAAAGAGTATTATTGGACGGAGGGAGTAACTTTTTACATAGGCTGTTATAGTGTTGAAAAATCAACATAAACAACAGTCTCTCTGTTATACAGCTATAAGGCCTGAAGAGAATGATGAGAGATAATTATTAATTTTTTTTTTTTTTTTGAAAGCTGATGAGAGATAATTATTGAACTTATGGAATATTGAAAATCAGATAAAGCCTTTCAGCTACATCAGAATTCTGAGGGTTTATATTTTTTTATTTTTAAAAAAGACTAACATAGACACCTTCGCTTACAGTAATTGACTAATTCCTCGTATTTTCAAAAGCAAGTTCTCATCAGAAATACAATTACTTTAAACAAGCTGTCTTTCAAAGCTCACTATTGTTGGTGTTTTATGTGTACATTTTAAAGAGATTTTAAAATTGAGCACTCCATATTAAACAATCTTGGTAAAACTTTATAGATACCTGCTTTATGCAATAGCTGAAATGCAAATCAAATATTCTACTTTTGAACTGGCTTTAAATTTATAATGCTATTACTTATTCTTTAAAATTGAATTTTAAACAATCTTGGATGGGGATTTCATACTCTGTTTCTCTCTTCCTCCCCTTTTTAGATTTTATTTCGTTCCTAAAGGTGTGCAAAAATGTTATTCTCTCTTCATTCTGAGTTTTAGCATTTTCGTTATTGGTCATTTCTTTTCTCACTCCATGACTACTTTTAGTTTGTTTACTGTGATAAAAAGAAAGAAGCATATGCGACTTGCTGCAATTCTGATGGCAGACATTTGTGCCAAGATTAAGTAGAAAATGAAGTCAGTTTGAGATGTTTAAATTTATACAAGCACAATCTATTGAATTCAATTTGGAAAAACCTATGTATATTCTTCAAATCAACATTTGGAGGGTTTCTAGAGGAAAGTAAAGTTGGAGTTAGAGTTATTTATTGTAACAAACTCTAGGTTAATTTGCTACAATTCAAAGTAGAAGGGTGGATTGCACAAGTAGAGCTAGGCTATATTCTCTTAGATGGGGCGCTTGGTTCACAAATTGGTATGGCTTGGAATCAGGACTGAAATCAACATCTATTCACTTTGTTCATAAATTTTAAAATTTCAGTATTGGACCATTATTTTCTTATTTTGGTTTTTATCACCAAAAATCTATAATCGTGCATTGATAAAACTATGAAAATTCGATATTGGCAAACCGTTAAAACAAGATCCCACATGATAATATTTTTCCATATATATTTAGTTTATATATGCAGTCAAAAGTTAGAGAGACCCAACTAGACCAGACCACCGATTCACCAAACCAGAAATTTTTAGAGTAGACAACCCTAGTAAGTTCATATTGGAGAACAAAGCCCTAGTCTGGTTGAATAACCACTTTGCTGCCTGTTCTCCCCACCTAATCTAATTTACATACAGTGGGCTCTTCTATTTGTATATGTTTAAATATTGAAGGCTTTTTCTCCCACCTTCCCCCACCCCGCCTCCTCTTACTCTTGGAGAATCACTCACAGATGCTAGCAACAATCTGCTTAAGGTACAGCAGTTTTTTCTATTTCCGAAACGTGCATGTTAAAGGAATTGAGATTTGGCAGCTACTTTGTTTTTAAATTCTTAGTCCTTTTTCTTTCAGTAGTAAAATGACGTTGATAGATTAGAATGTGCTGTGTCATTAAGATCACTTCATTATAGGAAGCTGGCGGTTTTTTTTCTTGCTCTATTGTTTTTGGCACTAACTAGAAAAATTATGTTTTCTTGCTCTTACGGGGTTCCTCTCATGTAGGTCTATTTTGGAATGCTTGATGCTCTGCTGGCTTCTGAACAGTTGCCTGAAGAATATAGGGATCGTCACCAGGTGAGGGCACGCAATAATTTTTAATATTATAATAATTGAACTTTTATGTACTTTGCCAGTTGGGTTCATAAAAAAATTGGTGATTCAGGACATACTTTGCAACGATTGTGGTAGAAAGGGAACTGCACGGTTTCATTGGCTTTATCACAAGTGCGGATCATGTGGATCATACAATACTCGTGTCATCAAAACTGGTCTGGTTGACGCCGGCAGTTCAACATTGAAATAACAGCAATATAGGTGTCCTTGTGGGTTGCTATACTGTATATATCTTGGCGGCGGTACATATAAAACTTCTTTATTCTTTTTCCTCCCTCTACTCTATAATGTTGTAGTTTAAAAAGGGCTGGTGCGGGAAGGCTAAATTCTATGATTTCAAAATTTTTGGCCAAAGTAGGCAAGATTCAGACCGTCTTGCAGTTCCACGATGATTGCTTTTCAGGAAATTTGCAGAAACGAGTACATAGTACACACGTCCAATGAGGAAAATATTACTTTGATACCGTGTGTTAACTGATTGTTTTACTTTGATGGGGTTTGGGGCAGTTGCAACTCACAAATGCGTAAGAGTAACATTAAGAGAGCGTTTGGGATGTTCTTTTAAAACAAGGGTGTTTGGAATGTGGATTAATGTGCTAGGGTTATTGGGCAGGATGAATATTCTTCAGGTACAGAACAGCTTTCATTCAACATTTCAACCCCTATTTTTTTGAGATTAGGAAGAACTTGTTTTGACAGCATATCTTAAGGAATTTAAACAACTGCCTCAAATACAATGTTCAGAAGAACAAAACCCAACATCCACGAGCTTATTAGCCCATGGCAATTGGCATTTTGCACATATGTATATTCCTTTTTTGTGGATTCTCGTAACCTTGCTGTACGAAAATGGTATGCGCAATTAAAATGGATGATTGTAGCATTTTCCTTATTTGTTTGGTATGTATTGAGATTTTTTTTAAAAAAAATCTTATAACAAATACAGAGTACTAAGCTACATTAATATGCCTTCGCAGCTTCGCCGTTAATACCCTGTTTGATTTTTTACTACCTATTTAAAATTTTATTTTGTTTTGCTACCTAAAGTTACAAAATATAGTTTTTGCTACCGCTTAACAGAATCTGTTAGGTTCTATTAAATGTGGCTTATCTCACTAATTCAATAAGTTTTGATCTTTTCAACTCAAACAAGAAGAAAAACAACATTAATTTTGATCTTTTCAAAAGAAAAGGCAAAAGTATTGAAATTAATCCGGTTCACTCGAAATAACTTGCAATTTTCATGTTTTAATAAACTCAATCAATCTCTCTGTTCTAATGTACAAACAAATATATATAGGCATATAATCCAACAAAAAAAAAATAAAAACCTAAAATATAAAAATAAAATCCTAATAAGCTATAATAATATCTTATAAAAAGACAAATTTTCCTCAAGTAATCATAGGAATAGTAACAAATTATAAAATATGAGTACTAACTTTTCGAAATAAATTTAGACTCGTAAATTTTTGATGCTTGATTCGCATAACCCTACTAGCCCGTCAGCCACCCCTATCCTCGTTAGCCATCCTTCCCCTCTCCTCGTGCCAGCTACTGATGCCCAAACGATCCCCCGGCTGCCGACCCCACCTCCTCCCTTTCTCCAACCCACACAGCCCACCAAACTCTTTACAATCCTTACATCCCCAGCAATCCTCTCATTGGCCTCAATCAAAACAAGTGATGCCGCCCCTAACAATCTTCACGGTAGAAGAGAGAGAATTGGATTGAGAAGGGGTGGATTTTGAGGTCAAGGGTGAATTGGGTTGTAAAAAATAGAGGATTTTGTCTGAGGAATTGAGGATAAAGGGTTTAATGGGGTTTTGAGGGAAGCTAAAGTTATGGAGAAGAGGGTGATGATGCTGGGGTTGTTGTTCATTCATGGCTTTTAAGGTGGTTTTAAGGATTAGGTTTAGGGTTAGGGGTGTTGGTTCTTGGGTGGGGGAAAGGGAAGGGGGCCGTTTCCGGTTGGGGGAAAGGGGGAAGGGGGTGGGTGGGAGAAAGGGAAAGGGGTGGGTCGCCGGTGCCCGAGATCGTTCTCGGCAGCCAGCACGGGGAGGAGGAGTGGCTGACAGTGAGGGTGGCTGGAAGGTGGCAGTGAGGGTGGCTAGGCCCCACTAACAGAAATAATAACCAATTATGATAAGTGGTAGCAAAAGTTTTGTGTTTTTGGCTTTTAGATGGTAGTAAAATAAATTAAAATTTTAGATAAGTAGGAAAAGTCAAAATGGTGTATTTTAGTGTTAGCAAAAGTCAAATTTTCCGTAAATAAATAACATTCCTTGTTAAATTTGTCTATTTACTTTCCTAGCATTAGCTAAGTTACATCAACCTTAAAGATTTACAACTAATTCATACTGGTGATTCGAGACCATTATATATTCATATTTGCAAACTATAGTTGAACAAAGATAAAATTGCTAACGTGAAATCTCGAACAACAACCATATTAGTATAAAAGTTACTTCATAGCATCCATGTGACATTGGTATTAAAGTTATCCTTGACAATAAATTGGTGTAAAAGTAAGTGATGACAAGTTAGTATTTAAGTTAGCAAGTGGTGACATATTGATATAAAAGTTAGCAAGTGACGACATATTAATATATAAGTTAGCGAGTGACGTCAATGAAACATTTTTTCTTGCTAGAATAAGTGCATATTGTACACATAATTATTCTTATTTTTGTAACTTTAGGATCCATTCGGCATCGTTGTATTTTTCTGTTTTTTGTTTTTTAAAAATCATATAATATATGACATATTATGAATGAAAAATTGTTAAAACTTATTAAAATCATGATAATTTTATAAACTGACAACATAAAATTGAGTAAATAAGATTATGGTTGTTTAAGGTAAAAATTACCACAAAACGTGGACAAATCCAATAGTGACATGTGGCCCAATCAAAGGGCGACACCGTGTCCCTATATAAAGATCACACGTATAAAAGCCCTATAAAGAGCACCTGAAAAGAGGAAAATGGCCTCCTTATATCAAAAGGACCAAATCCCGAGAAAGCCGCAAACGGCGCCCTTATCAGGACATGTGTCCAAACCTGATTGCGCCGCCAATCAGAGCACGTCATTCTAGGGTAGTAACGCTAAAGGGGCACATTTTCCCACCCCTATAAATACCCCAATCATTTATGATGCGAGGGGTGGATTGTGAAATAACATCTAAGAGCACATCAAGCTCCAAGTTATCCTACATTCTCTCTCTAGCCTTTCCATTTTCTGGTTACTAACTTGACCGTCTGAGGCGAATATTCCGACAACGGGATATTCGTTATTTTATAGGTGTCCGAAGCCATCTGTTTGAAGAGCGCGACCAGTATTGTAATACCCCGTATTTTCATACGTATATTCTAATTGATTAATTAAGAAGTATTTTATAAAAAGGGTATTTTAGTAAATTTATTATTTGGAGCCAAAATAATATTTGAATTTTGGCGCCAAAAACATTTTCAAAACTAATCATTATTTTGGATAAGATTTGTTATCCATTTATCTTATTTAAAAATCGAATTATTTACATATTTCGGATATTTTAATTAAAGCAAAATAATATTTTATTAATTATTTTTTTATTGCCGAAATTTTCCAATAATTAGCTAGGATTTTTGGATTTTCCATGTATGGAAAATATGATTTTTCTTGATTATTTATTCGTAAATAATTGGTATTTAATTAATTAATTAATTATTTTTTATTCTATATTATTTATACAATTATTTTATTCTTTAAATACCGAGCAAAATCTTCCTAAAAATATTTATAGGAGTCCGAAAATTTGAGCTATGGTAAGCTCAATATTTTCGGCCCTATTGAATTATTTTGGGGGGAATTTAATTGGTAAAATTATATTTTTAATTATCTCTCAAAATCTCTTATTTTCCTTAATTCTAATTCTCCATCTTTTTAATATCTAATCATCATATTTTCTTGCCATTCATTCTTCTTAATTGTTCCCCAAGTAATTCTAATTTCCTTATTATTTTTCATGACATACATACCTTCCATATTTAATTATATACAATCTCTTTAATATCAAAACTTTCCTTAATTCTTTTATTCACTTCTCCAAGTAATCCCATAAACCCCACTTGCCATAATTCTTCCTATATTTTTCTACCATAATCCTTGCATGATCTAGCCTATAAATACCCCTTCATACCTCTCACATTCTTCACATGAATTCTCTTATTTTCTTCTCCTCAATTTTACACAAATCATCCCGTTTATCTTTGAAGCCAATTTTCGGGCACTTCTGGTTAGTTTTTGGGTATTGACGTTTCACATAATATTGTTCCTCTCAAAATATCCTTGAGTTTAGGCTCAAGAATCATCCAATTTGGAGTTATATCAAAGGAGTTATAGCCTCTGCAAGTTCTGCCTACTCTTTCCAACGCAAATCCAATTCTTCTCTTTTCCTTGGTTTCTTATCTTTTCTTATTCTCTTCTCTTATTCAATTATTATTATTATTTGGGATATTTATAAATAATTATTATGAGTAGTTTTAATTATATAAAATCAGATTTTCAATGATGTTTATTAGAAATTAATTTAAAAGGTTCATGTACATATAGTTGGGGGTTTTTAATTATTTGTTAACCTTATATTGATTAAGGTTATATTTATTTGTAGGATGTGTTCGATCAAGGTTCTTGGGGTTCTTTTTGTGTGGCTTTTCTAGCAAGGATCAAGGTACGTTTAGGTAGCTAGATACCTTTGAAAGTGATTGGTTTGAATAACATGTTTTACATGATTTGATTGGTGATTCAATTAAATTTATTTGAATTATGATTTTGAAATAAATTATTTTTGAAGGTATTTATTTTAATAAAAGTATTTTGAATGATTGATTTTTAAATTATGTTTTGAATGGTTTGGATTACTTATCGTGTTTAAATAAAGGAATTGATTTTAAAAGGTTTGTTGAATCAATTAAATAAAGGTTTTTCAAGGAAGAGTTGTGATTTTGAAAGGTTATTAATATGAGATTTTATTCTCAAATATTTATTTACAAGGTTTGATTTTGAAAGCATGTGAAATTAATTTAAAAGGATTTTGAATTATATTGGAACTATTGGATATTAAAAGGATTTATTGAACCATTGAATTATTATTATTAATGTTTTATTATAAGCATGTTAGTAATCCTACTATGCAGATTTGATTTATTGATAAGGCCTTGGACTTTGTATGACCGGGTCTTTCCTCAAGAATAGCCTTGTAACATAAGGAGACTAGCTTGGGGGGTGTGCACACTTGAGTGAGGAATTGGATTAAAAGGAATTGGTTCTTAATAAAGGAAGTGGTTTTATTAACTATTATTTTGATTATGAATCATCATTGGAATCGGTTTTGGAATAATGAGTTTTTAATTTATTGGATTAATTATTGGAATTGGTTTTAAAAGCATGTTTGCATATAAATAGATTTTACATTATCTTGCACTTATCGTACTTAGCATAATTTGCAAATCCGTATTTCTTATTTGTTTTGGTTCGCCCTGTTTACCGTAATGGTAAGCAGTGTTGACTATTTTCAGGTGGAGTCATGAATGAGCATATGGGAGTCCAGGAATTTACTTCACCTAGTTTAGGAATGTTGGTCTTGTCTTTATTTTGAGTACTCATAACAATGTTACTATTTTTATATGTATTAAAAAAAGAAAAGTTGCCGCTGCAAGTTTTGTTGTTGAGTTAAGTATTTTGAGTAGCCTTGCGTAATCACGCGGCAGTAATACGCCCAATTCTATCTCTACGTTATAATTATACATATCATACTGGTATTTCTGTAGAGATAGATTTGGGGTGTTACAAGTATCCCAAGGGAAATCCAAAAAATCCCCAAAATATTTGGCGCTGTCTGTGGGGATAC